AAAATGGGTCAAATTTTTTATGTTTAATCAAGTATGACTCAAGCTTTAATATAAATATTTATAAAGCTGAGACGATCTGTGGTCGCTGAAATATGTACACTGTGTCAAAACTTTTTGAACCCCCCACGTACATCAATCAAAAAATTCAAAAATTAGTCACGAAAGGCAACTGTCATTAGTCTATGATCATGAGGCGAAGCCTCTTAACTATTTATAACCTAGTTTACAATAATAACTCCTATCAATCAATGTTCGGTTATTTTCCAATGCACGGCGGCGTTAATAGCAGTAACTGAAATAAACGACATGTTGACGCAGTAAGTAGAAACTGTAAAGATTGATGAAAATAATGACGCACTTTAAAAAGCTAAAGGTTGGAACCGTACATCAAAATTAATGGGTTCTGTTGTCATTGTAACAATTGAAATTTTTTGTGCGGTGGTTCAGCCGATCAAAATTAACGGGTTCTGTTGTCACGTATTATTTTTATTTCCTATAAAGGTAATGATCGGTTGATTTTTTCCGGTCCAAACAAGTATCAATTATGCACTCTATGCCGTTATGTAGCCAACCAAGTCATATATATACGTGTCGTACTTTAAGGTCCTGTCTCTGTGATACATGACATCAAGATGAGAAACTTTTAGCATAACGGAATAATAAAATAGAAATCACATGGTTTTAAGACGAACAAGTATAATAAAAAGGCGTGTCAAAAGAAAAACAACCAGCGATTCAATTTTAAAAATGGTTTGGTTTCTTATATGTTTTTTGCTAAGCCTGACGGTTAATATTACCGCCTACGTCATTTCTCAACCCAACCCTGCACAAGGGATAACACATCTAGAAGATGGCGAGATTGCAAATCTTCGTCGGTACATCAGTTACGCAGCCGTTACTTATTGCGAAAACAACAACGATCTCGAAAATTGGAATTGCGGCAAACATTGCAATAACACACCTGGTACAGAATTTGTACAGGCGTTCAGTGCAAGCCGTACTTTTTGTAAGTAGGGTATATATATATATATTTTTTTTAACATATAAATTTGTTATCAACATTATCTAACCCAAACATTGGTACTCGAATCAAGTGGAATTTTTGGGTGACAACTATGGTTATATTGCGGTAAACCACGAGTTTCTGGAAATTGTCATTGCTTTCAGAGGCACAACAAATCTTTTAAATGTAGCAGAAGATTTGTACAGCATAGAAAGCGCGTTTCAAGCTGAAGGAGTTAGTTACGATGGAAGGAGCATAGCGCCAGCCGTTAGCAATAAGATTTATGTTCATAAAGGATTTTACGATGCTTGGAAATCACTCAAAGGCAAAATTAATGACAAATTAAACAGCCTGATCAAACAGTATCGAGGATACTCTGTTGTGGTAACTGGACATAGTTTAGGCGGCGGTAAGAATAAAATTAAATGCTTTTTTTTTTTTTGCAAGTTGTTCTTAATGCTTTATTTTATTATTAGCAATGGCAGTACTTCAAGCGGTGGATATTAAAACAACTTATCCCGAAATAATGCCACGACTATACACATACAACGCTCCACGGGTTGGAAACGAGTATTTTGCTTTTCACGTAGACACCGTGTTGGTATGCAAGATTTGATATGCAATAATTTTCTTTTTTCAACTCGTTGCTAATTCCCAGAAATAAATTAACCAGACTTGGATACGACGGGTAGTCGTGGAAACCGAACCCGTTTCACACTTTTTCCATGGTCCCATGATTTCGAGAACGCTTGAAATTTATAATTGGAAACACCACAAAGGCGAAGTGTGGATTGCAGATCACACCCGAAAGAAAGATGCCACCTTTAAATGTGCGGGAGATGAAAATAAGGTAACGATCGTTTAGCAACCCAGAAAGATTTTTTGATAAAATTTTTAAAATCGTTTTTTTTTTCTTTGGTATAGTTTTGCAGTTACAGTTTGGTACCACGTGACTTTCTTATGTCGATAAGGAAACACAGTGGCCATTCTTTTGGGACATTATGACCAGTAACGATTGGAACGGTTGCAAAAAGTTTACAGACTTTCTCTACTACTGATGAACATTGATACAATCATAAGCACCAAGTTTTATAAACACATATAGATAACTTTACATAACACGGACAACTTAGCATTAAATTATTTCATTATGAGAAAGCATGCATGGAAATTATTTATCGGTTATATTATATTTACTTACATCATATTAATATGCTTTGGTGTTAACATTACATGTATTATATTCTGCATATTTGTTTAGAAACGCTCGCATTTATTAAAGACATCATACACCAACACAGTAGTGATAATAATAATAAATATTACACATTCCGATACATGTCTCGTTTATTACACACGCCTTCATACATCAATGAATGATTGCCAAAATAACTATAACTTTTACATTAATGTGTTGTTGAAGTACATTTATTTTCTCTCGTTGCTACAGGCTCAAGTATGAGTGTTATATACTATGTCTATTTTGTTACAATAAAAGATGCGGATGAAATCACCACTGACAACATTAGTCAATAATATGTGTATATGCTCTCAAATAATATATTAAGTGTCTATAATAATTTATTAATCTATGTAACTAAAAGAATATTATAAATAATAATGTCCGTGCGTAAACAGAACGTCTTCAATTCTCGTTCTCCCTCTCATACTTTGTAATCAAGAACGCTCTTGATTTTCTTTTCCTTGAAGTATTTCTTTGCTTCATCCACCCAGAATACGCACGATGTCAATATTACCAGCTTGAGTAGATCGTACAGTCCGATTGCTTCCGTCTGAAAAATACGTTGTAGGAATGGCGTATAAATAACTAGTAGCTGCCCGATAATAGATCCAGCAACGGCGTAATTGAACATGCGGTTTGAAAAAAATCCTTTTTCAAATATAGACTTTTTCTCTGAACGACATGCTAACGCGTTGAACATGTCAAAGAATACAAATGTCGTAAACGTCTAGAAATAAAAGAAATTGTGCAAAGTTAGACTTTTGTAATTTATGCTGTAATACATTAAAAAACGACATGTGCATTACCATAGTGGTATCCCGGGCCGTTACATTTCCATCTCTCATTTCAGTCATGTATATAAACAGTGTGCCAGCAACTATGCATGCAGCTGCCGTCAATACTCTTTTGATAAGTCTCTGCGTCAATATGGGTGCATTCTTTTTCTTGGGAGGTTTGTTCATTACATCGTGATCTACAGGCTCTACTCCCAGTGATTGCGCAGGCGGACCGTCCATGAGAATATCTAATAGAACAAATGAAAGGATGAGAAAATTGTCGAAAATTGCGTTATTATTATGTAAGCGAAATTATAGGAATAAAAAAAAAAAGCAAACTACTACTCCAATTAACACTTACTTATCCATAATATTTGCATTGGATTGAGCGGGTTAGGCAGACCCGATATTGTTGAAAGTGTTATGAGAGTGAGTGCGGCCACACTTGTACTCAATTGGAAGGTTAAGAAATTTTGAATATTATAATATATTGATTTTCCTATAAAAACCAATGTTAATAAAAAATGCCCCCGAAATACAATGTGCCAATTGACCTAAACCAACAAAGCAACCTATAATGCATTATATACGCTGCTTTTGATCTACAGATTCACAAATACCTTCTTTCACTGCGGCTAATATTGTGGAAAAGTCATCATCAACCAGTATCATGTCGGCCGCTTCTCGTGAAACATCGGTTCCGCTTTTTCCCATGGATATGCCTATGTCAGCCTTTTTCAATGCAGGAGCATCGTTGACTGCAAGAACCAATAAAAATGTCTATATAAACCGTTCTCATAAAGCTAAGTGTGATTGCAAACACCAACATCCTTTTCCTTGTAAACAAACCTCCATCTCCAGTCATGGCAACAATAGCCCCTTTAGCTTGGAACGCCCTGACAATAGCCAGCTTGTGTCTTGGCGTCGTTCTCGAAAAGACTGAAATGCTTCCAATAACTTCTTCCAATTGTTTATCAGACATTGACTCGATATCATGACCAGTAAGACAGCTTGATCGGGAGGCGTTTAGTGGAATGCCGAGGTGTCGTGCTATCGAAAGAGCAGTTCCATCTATGTTTCCAAAGTCGTCAAAGATGAATAAAAAAGAAAAGAGGATGGCGGAAACGAAACGAAAACAACAATATTTTATGACAAATCCAACCTGAGTCACCAGTAATCATGACCACTTTGACTCCTCCTTTGATTAACTCGTTGATAGACTTGTCGACGCCTAACACAGTTGAGAAAGAACGGTATTACTAACGATGGCAATAGATTTAAACACAATATTTCATGCTAACCTTGTCTGGGAGGATCATGCATAGCCACGAATCCCACAAACACCAATTCGTTAATCTTGTTACCATATGCCAAACCCAAAACCCTCAACCCATGATTGGACATGGCGTTTACATGCTGCATGACAATCTCCTTGGCGTTTATATCCAATGCAGGTTTATTTGTCTCGGAAACAAAATACCGAACGCTTCTCTCCAAAACTGCCTCGATAGATCCCTTGAAATATACAAGTTTCTCCTGTGAATCATGCCGACGACAAGTAACAGACATCCATTTCTGCTCAGAATTAAACGGAGTCTCTTCCACACGTTCGTACGATGATCGTTCATCTGCCGAAAAGAATTTCTGTGCCGCCTCCAATAATGCAATTTCGGTCGCATTGCCAGTTTTCTTGCCCTCGCCATCGATACGAGCGTTGTTGCACAGATTGCCGATTCTTAAAGCCACTTTCATGGCGCTAGAGGTCAGCGTAGGAATGGTATGCTCGAGATCGAATATCATTCCCTTGTCAAGCGTAAATATCTTTGTCACTGTCATTTTGTTTTCAGTAAGCGTGCCCGTCTTGTCAGCACAGATGACATTGACCGAGCCCAAGGTCTCGACAGCAGGAAGTTTCTTTACTATTGCGTTGCGTTTTGCCATTCGCAACACACCGAGGGCAAGCGTGACGATGACGACTATTGGAAGACCTTCGGGAATGGCTGCGACGGCAAGACTCACACCGATCGTAAACATTTCCAACCAATGTCTACCTTGGAATATGCCTATCAAAATAATAACGGCAATTATCGCAAACGAGAAATACGACAAAAGTTTTCCTAGTTGGTCCATGTTGACCTGAAGAGGGGTTTTAGATTTCTCGACTTCTTCCATCATCAGGAAAACGGCACCGAATTCTGTGGCCTTGCCAGTGCCAACGACTATTCCGGTTCCGTGCCCATTTGTCACCAAAGTGCCCATAAAAGCGATATTTTTTCTGTGCTGTATGTCGAGCTCTAGTCCGTTGTTCATCATGACGTCAATACCCTTTTTGCGTGGTTTTGTTTCTCCGGTAAAGTTTGATTCGTCTATTTCTAAATCGACGGCGCTTACAAGTCGTACGTCGGCAGGAATTCTGTCACCAACGCCAAACATGACCAAATCACCAGGGACCAACTGATTTGCGTTTATTGACATTGTCTTTCCGTCCCGCACTATATTACAAAAGTGAGGTACCAGCCTGTTCAATTCCTCTAATGATTTCTCTGATCTGTATTCTTGCACAAATGCCACGGTGGTAACAATGAATACGGCAAGCAACACTGAAAATGCATCATCCTTGTTGCCCATTACCAAAGAAACGCCGGCTGAGGCTAGTAAAAGAAGAATGAGAGGATTCTCGGTGAACTGCTTCATATATTTTACGTACATGACTTCGGCATTTTCTGTTTGAAATTCATTGTAGCCGTTTAAATCAAGACGAGTACGTGCTTCCTTTGAAGCGAGACCCGATTTCCCATCAGTGGCAAGAGCAGAGATTGTTTGTTCGACTGATAGTTTCGAGTACTTTTCTGATGGCGTTAGATTTGTCATTTATATGAGTGAGGGAGGAAATAGAGTAGTTGAAAGGACTGTTTTCTTCGTTTTTATACGCTTATGCGCCAGCAAAGAAATACTAGTTACAGGCTGTGATCCTCAATCGCAAGTATTGCAGAAGAAGAAGGGGATTTTTTAAAAGGCCTACAAAACGACCCATTCTATTTTAATATCGATATGATCTGCAATCAGCATGGATAGAAAGTTTATCTGGAAGCTATTAGTGTAGCACAGATTTTCTAACGCATTACTATTTTAGTCCACGTGTATAAATTGTAATTGGTGAAGTGTAACAAACAGAATCACATGAAATAAACCAGATCAAACAAACGCGATCCCATACTTGCTTTACTTGTAATTATAATAAACAGATCTCGAGTCATAGTCATGTAAAAGGTGTTATTGCCACCACGAAAAAGAAAAATAATATTAGAGATTAATTTCACTATTGGAAACCAATGTTTGCTTTATAAATTCATTGCATCTATCTGCGCAGTAAACAATCGGTTATGAAGCTAACACGGATTGGAAGCTGAAAATGAGAAGTAGCTTTTGGAGCAAATGATACACCTGTTAGACTGTACTCGCATGTCAGAAAATGGCATATCGTAAAATACAACAAATTTAAATAACATAAAACAAAGCCATGTCGACTTTATTCGTCTATTATATGATGGCTACACGTACAACAAAGCGAAAACTGCAACTACTGTATGCTTGAGTAGTAGTAGGCAATTAGAGTCTTTACGTCATTCACATAGAATAATTAATACAGGTAACTCGTAATAAAAATTCTAATGTACCGTATAAATATGAATAACTTTATCCAAGCATAAACCCATTATATTCCGTTCTTTGTACTACAGTCTACATTCCCTTCTTATTCTCTCAGTAATGTATTTTTTTTATTGACAAATTTTACAAATCCAATGGTTGACATGCCTTCTTTGAACAAGCGAGTAAAAAAGTTGACCGTTGTCGTCCAAGACGGAAAGTTTTTGATTAATAAATTAGGTGACGACAATCAATCTGTTAACAAATGCGCGATATTCGAATTACTTTTCTTGGTGAAACCCAGCTGACAACATTTGTGAATGCAAGAACCAATCAAATTACTGGGATTTTTTAACGCGGGATCGAGAAGGAAAAAAAGCCCTTGTGATGTGCAGAATACCCGTAACACCCGTGTAACTTTGAAAATCGATTCCAGTCATGTTTGATGTTCCGCGAGCAGCAAAAATACCCGATTTTTCATCCCGGCCTTTTTTTCTTTTTTCAATCAGTCGCCGCCGCCGCAACGCTGGCTTCTCTACCTAGATCACCTCTTTTGCCCTACTCTCCCTCTTGTTTGGCAGGATAAAAGGTTAAATGTCCGAGTACGCGGTAACTCCAAATAATGAGATTATCATTACAGAGATCACGGAAAGTATTCCTTCCCAACAGAAGGGATTAACTGATGTTGACAACGCGGAAGCTGTAACCACTATGACAACCAAGACATCTATTACTGCTTTTAACAACACGACACCAACAGCGCCTGTTACTTCCGCTGTGACTCCAACGACGACGACGCTGGTAGAAACCTCAAACTTGCAACAACCTCCTGAATCAAAGGACGATAAGCTCTCGGCTAGTGATAAATATGACGAAGACTTTCCCTCACTCTCCGCCTCCGCACCCGCTGCACCGAAACCACCTGTACTATCTGTACGTAAAACGGGAATCATTACCGATGTTTTGGAATTTCCTGCTTCTCAGCAGAACAGAACAAAGGAATTTGGAAACAAAGCGCCTACCATCGATATCGTTAAAAGAATCAAAGAGAGAACAAATACTCAGATCGACATGTCAACGGCAATGAGAACAGGAATGACGACATTCTTGATCAAGGGAAAAGTGGAAGATGTACAAAGAGCTAAACGAGAGTTAAAGACTGCTTTGGCCGTTAAGGTATCTCAACGTAAATTGCAGTAATGTCTGATTAATAGTTGACTGAGGACTATTGTATTTAACGTCATATTTATTTTTGATTAAAAAAACATGTATATAGTAATTACTATTAATTTTTTATTAAACGCTTTTTATTTCACAACATGGTAGACGGAATTAATAATCAAAGTGCCAGCATCCGTTCGGAAACACATTTTCGGTCCGCTTGGAAATACATTGAAATCAATTACATCTCGCACTGGCACTCGAATTCAACTGCCAAAGAGAGATAACACCGAAGAAAAAGTCGAGGGGATTGATGGGGAAGAAGAAATGATGGATATAAGAATCGAGGGCGATAAAGAAGGCGTCGGGATGGCCAAGACCGAAATTGAGGCTATCGTCATTGAAAAGGTACGATAACTTGAACGTCACAAGAACACAGGCATTATTAAACACCGACGTTCTGCGGCGGGAAATGTCCCTGCCGTATGCGATTTTTTTTTGTTATATTTTTTAAACTGAATCCACATTTACGCCTCACAGACTCCTAAGCGCGTTCACAAAATAAGTCACATACAACATTACTACTACCCTCTCATTGCTGGTGCCCATAACCATCGTGTTCAACAAATAGCTCATCAAACAGACACCAAGATTCACATTCCAACTTATGTTGCTGCTCTTGACGCGGCCGAAAATAACGAAAGCGGGCAAAAAGATGGACATATTACAGTCATTGGCAATGCGGAAAACGTAAAACAGGCCTGCGAAAAGATCGAAGATATTTACAATGAATTAAAAGTAACAACAAGAACGTTAACCGTGGATATTCCGAAACGCCAGCACAAATATTTAATCGGGTCTAAAGGAGCGAATTTGCAAGAAATTCTTGAAGTTACCGGGTGTTCGTTGGAATTGGCACCCGTCTCGGATCCAAACGAAGTTGTCACTATACGTGGACCGGCTGCTAAACTTTCCGAAGCGACCAAATTAGTCATGGATAAAGCTAGTTCGATAAACGTCGAAATATTGGATATCACAAATATCAACGGCGACAAAACGGAGAATCCTTTGGAGCACGCAAAGAATGTGCTAAAATATCTCTGGAATAGGGGCAAATTGCGCAAGATTGAAGGAGATTCAGGCAATTTACAGATTATTGTGCCGAAGGGAGGCACTTTGAATAATTCTGTAATATTTGAATTTGTGGGGAAATCTCCAGACATCGTGGAAAAAGCCAGGAAGGAAGTTCTGGAGCTCGTGAAAAACTTGGTAAGGTTTCGAAATGGGTCAAGTAGGGTTATCCGTATTTCCACGTTCCTGACCGGATTATACGTTATCGTGTTGCTTACCACTACGCTTTATCTCGACAGCTACCAAGTTACTTTGCTACAGTTGCGGTAGACCCGGCGTTACATCGTCACATCATTGGTCGCAAAGGTCAAAATCTACAACGTGTGAAGGAGACTTATGGTGTTGAGATTATTGTGCCAGGAGAAAAAGATGAATCACCTGACATCATTATTGTCTATGAGGAAAACTCTTCTCAACCTGCCGATCCTGAAAAAAAGAAAGAAGTGTTGGTCAAAGAAACGCTTGAACAGGCCAAGAACGAACTCGTCAAGGCCGCTCAGGATGCCTCAGATTTTGCAACGCATTCGTTAACTATCCCTGTTAAATATCATCGTCATATTATCGGTCCGAAAGGAACAACTTTGAATAAGATTACTGGCGGAGCGGATGCACCCGTATCGGTAAAGTTTGGGTCGCTGAGGACAGGGGCTGCGGAGAGATCTGCCTCGGCCGAAGGCAAAAAAGTTGCTAATATGCAGCCTTCAGATGACGTTGTTATTATAAAGGGACCGACGGAGGAAGTGGAGAGGGTTGTGGCGGAGATTGAAAGAGTTGTTAAAGATGCAGAGTTTATAGAGGTACGGGTTATATTACAATTTATGCAATTTATGCGCTGACTGGAGAATCAAAGTTAGAGAAGGCATTGCAGTTAGGAACCGATTTTGTCAGTGAAACTAACTTTTAAATATTTATAACAGGCTAGGAATTCATATACTGCTACGTTTACCCTTCCATCTCAGTATTCTGCTCACATAATTGGTAAAGGCGGAGCAACAATAACACGGCTTAAGGATATGCACAATGTTAAAATTGAAATTGATGGTCCGCAAAAAGCTTCTTCGAACGATGCAAATACCGACAATGCCAAGGTCAATAAACGAAAAGATGCTGATAAAGGTTCTTCCTCCGATGAGGTCAAAGTTACAATTCTAGGAACGGAACGAAACGTCGAAGAAGCTAAAGAAAAGATTCTTGACTTGATCGACAAACTTAAAAACGAAACCGTTCTTAATCTTGTCATTCCTGCAGAATACCATAAATCTCTTATTGGAAGAAATGGGGTATATGTTAAAAGATTAGAGGAGAAGTATGGGGTCCATATTAGATTTCCGTGGAATAAGACGGGAGACGAAGATAGTAATAACAACGATGGACAGAAGCCTAACGAAGTCATTATTAGAGGTGGCAAGAAGGGTGTGAAAAACGCCTCAGACGAGATAATGGAATTGTTCGAATATGAGAGAGATCACAACAATTCCGTTAGCTTTACCATTCCGGCGAAAAGTCTTTCTTATATAGTTGGTCGTAAAGGGCAACGAATTACAGAAATCAAAAATGATACATTCAGTCGTATCGAGTTTGGGGATCCGCAGCCGGATCCTTCCTCTGGAGAAGACGTTGTTGAAGTCAAGATTTCCGGTACATTGCCGGACATTCAGAAAGCTCGAGACATCATACAAGCGCTTGTCAGCGACCTTGGCAGCCAAAAGACAATCACAATGCACATAGACCAAAGCTATCATGGATATTTGATCGGACCATCGGGAAGTAGGATTAAAGAAATTGTTGCGAAGGCCAACGAAACAGAGAATAAATATAAACCTGTTCAGGCTAACGTTGTGAAGTTTCCAAAGCCATGGGAGCAGAGCGACGAGGTTATATTGTCAGGTGAAGCAGGACTTGTTGAAAGAATACAGGAACAGTTGGAGAAGTTAGTTGTAAGTTTCAGTGCTATAGGTGATGAGAAGCTGGTTTCTTGTTCGTGTTTTTTTATGACTATTCCTTATTGACTGTTTATTTAGCTCAATCGCATGGTAGACGTGATCCAAATCCCTCGTGCAGAACACCCGTCAATAATTGGTCGCAACGGTAAGTCTCTAAAAGAATTGCAAAACCATTATAACGTTGAAATCTATTTCCCTGGTTCCCGATCGTATGATGATGTCAAACCACCGAGTGATTGGGAGGAACGGGGCATTAGCAAAGAAGAGATGGTGAAGATTATCGGGCAAAAAGAGGATATCATATGCGCCAAGGCAGAAATTATGGTAAGATTTTGAAAGCGATGCAGAGAAGACTAATTAAGCGTAGTGTGCGTTTACCTGATACATGCTTGGTTGCACGTTTACTAATCTGCTTGTTTATAATCCGTCCATATAATTCTCTATACTTGGACGATCTAGTCTCGCATGCGTCATACATTAACTGTCTCCATTCCGCTTAAATACTATCGCATTTTGTCATCAAACGGGTCATTGCGCAAAATTCATTACGACTTTAACATCATGGTCGATCACGAAAATCTTTCGGAAAGTCAACGTGCTTCTGCAAACGGTAAACCCAAAAGAATAGACGATGATGATGAACCAGCAGGAGAATTTGATGGAGAATTGAAAATCGAAGTAGTTGAATATGGAAAGGAAGATGAAGGAGAAGAAGTTCAGTTGCATTTGAAAGGTGATAAGAAGCAGGTTGAAGCAGCAGAGAAGCATTTGAATAACTTGTTAGAGGAAGTGAGCGTAAGTTTTGGGGAGTCGTACAGAGGTGTTTATGCTATATCTAGCTTGTAATTTTTCATCTGCCAACACTAATGTTATTCACTTTTGTGTTTATTTTCGCGCTCAGAATACTTATACTCACGCTGGCTATATAACAATTCCTCAATACTTCCATCGACACATAATCGGCCGTGATGGAGTCACAATAACAAGTATCCGGTCGGAGAGTGGCTGTCTTATTAACGTACCCAAGAATAATGGCCAAGTTGTCTTAATGGGAACTGCCGAGAGCATCGAGAAAGCAAGGAAGCGCATACAAGAAATTGTTTCACGTGCTGTTAAGACAAGTTAGTGTGATGGGAAGATCAAAGATTGATAATGAAAGTAAAAATGGAAGTCGTGAATTTATATTTGCACATTGCATTTGTTAGTATTAGCTTTCTTTATCGCACAATTCATTATTCTTTGTTGTAGTACGAAAATTTATAGCGTTTAGGATATTTACTGATATTGAAATTATCTGGATTGATATCAAACTACTGGTTATCCACAATGAACATTCCGTCTTCTATTTATTTACTATATATTAATCTCTCAATGAGAGAATTCACAACATTTATTAAAAATATTTAATGCACCAGAATATACATATTGTTCATTAATAAGAAATATTTCCATTTAAACTTGAGAAGACCGAATATAAAAGATTGAGGGTTGCTACCCCGAGATCTGTTACGGTAAATTCTAAATAGAAGCATCGTGTGGTAATAATAGATTGGAGAAAATTACTGGTGCGCGATTGTCACGGTAGTACGTATTGTTATCAATCGCATATTATACAAGAACTCGCCGTGGATTCGAATTAAAATTTAAACCTCAGTATTTGGAAATTGTCGTAAGAAAAGCAGTCTCGTTTCTACTATGCATCCCGACCATTAATTCGGGTGCGCCAATTGTTGGAATTTTAATGACCAGATCAAAACTGAGATCGATGTGCACACAAAGTTATTCACGGAATTGTACGGAATGATTGTAAAAATGTGCTTAAAGGCTTAAATTGCATTGCTTTGTTGATAAGGGGTTACAAACAGATTATAATCTCTATGATTGGTTATCACCCAATTTTAACTATGCAGCCTTTGCATAATCAACAACCAGCAGCCTGGTTCTAACGGCCGGATTTGTTACTTTGAACAATATGTCATGACAGTTCGCATTATGAAGCGTTGAAAAGATAAAATGACACGCATATGCAAGTAACATTACGTGTAACATTACGAGTAACATTGTCAGTATTTAACAACCACTCGTATGCTCATTGAAAAAAAAACAATTCCGAATTGAAACGGCAAATTCTAACTAACAACACGAATAATGTCAGCTTCAGCACAAGTTAGACTCGGTACAATTTATGCGGACGGAGTTGGAGTGGACAAGGATGAGGAAAAGGCTCTGGAATATTTTAAAAAAGCCGCTGATCAAGGATATGCCGAAGGACAATATAAGCTCGCCATATGCTATCATACGGGTAAAGGAACAGAAAAAGATGATGAGAAAGCGTTTGCATTACATCAACAAGCAGCTGACCAAGACCATGCCGATGCGCAATTCAGTCTGGCAATACATTATCTCAATGGAATTGGTGCGAGAAAAGACGCGCAAAAAGCTGCAGAGTGGCTCCAAAAAGCTTCTGACCAAGGACATGCTGATGCGCAGTATAATCTTGCAGTAAGCTATATTAATGGAACTGGAGTGGAAAGAGATTATCAAAAAGCTGTTGAACTCTATCAAAAAGCTGCTGATATAGAACATGCTAATGCTCAACATAATCTTGGTAATTGTTACAGGAACGGACTTGGTGTAGAAAAGGATGTACAAAAAGCCGCTGAATTATACCAAAAAGCTGCTGACCAAGGATTTGCTGAGTCACAATACAACCTTGGTATATGTTATGCTAAGGGACACGGAGTAGAGCAAGATGATGACAAAGCTATTGAGCTGTTACGACAAGCTGCTAGCCAAGGACATATTGATGCACAACTTATCCTCAATATCATTGGAAGACAGAATCAAACAATTGCGGAAAAAACTCCTGAAGTTGAAACTAATACAACACAAGATAATTCTGATGCATTGAGTGAGAATGAGGCTAGCATAGTAATAGATAAAGATGCTCAACAGGCAGCTGAGTTTTATCGAAAGGCAGCTAACCAGGGAGTCACCATTGCAGAATTTATTGGACAGGATGGAAGTGGGGTGAGAAGAGATGAGGAAACAGCATTTGAAGCATTTCAACAAGCAGCAGATGAAGGGGATGTAGATGCGCAATTTAAGCTTGCTTGGTTTTATCAAAATGGAATTGGTGTAGAAAAGAATGAAGAAAAGGCAATTGAATGGTATCAAAAAGCTGCTGATCAAGGGTTTGCAAAAGCGCAATATAATCTTGGTGCATGCTATAATAATGGAGTTGGAGGGAAGCAAGATTATCACAAAGCTTTTGTATTATATCAGAAGGCTGCTGAACAAGGATCTGCCTTGGCACAATGTAACCTTGGGAGGTGCTATCTTGCTGGACATGGGGTGGAAAAAGATGAACAAAAAGCATTTGAATTTTTTCAAAAAGCAGCTGACCAAGGATATGACTGTGCACAGTACCAACTTGCTGTATGTTATAATGCTGGAAAAGGCGTTCATAAAGATAAGAAAAAGGCTTTTGAATTATTTCAAAAAACTGCTGAGCAAGGACATCCAGATGCTCAATTTAGTTTGGCTGTTTGTTATGACAATGGTACTGGAATAGAAAATGATTACCAGAAAGCTGCTGAGTTTTATCAGAAAGCTGCTGAACAAGGAATATCCAATGCACAATTTAATCTTGGTGTATACTATGAGCATGGACTTGGAGTGGAAAAAGATGAAAAGAAGGCATTTGAATTGTATCAAAAGGCAGCTTTACAGGATAATGTTAAAGCAATATATAATCTTGGTTCATGTTATGGACATGGAATTGGAGTAGAAAAAAACCAAGAAAAGGCAATTGAATGGTATCAAAAAGCAGCTGATAAAGGACATGAAAAGGCTTTCTATAATCTTGGTGCTCAATATTATGATGCATCCAAGGAAGGAGAACATAATCAGAAAGCAGTTGAACTGTTTAAGAAAGCTGCTGAACTAGGGAGTGCTGATGCACAATATATACTTGGTGTATTTCATTTTAATGGATTTCTGTTAGACAGAGATATTGAAAAAGCTTCTAAATTTTTACAACAAGCTGCTGCACAGGGACATACAGAGGCACAATATTATTTAGGTTTGTGCTATCAGAAAGGGATAATGAGAACAGCCAATGAGAACAGAATTGTTGAATTATATCAAGAAGCTGCTGATAAAGGATTTGCTGATGCACAGTATATGCTTGGTGAATGCTATATGTTTGGCAAAGGAGTAGAAAAAGATAAGCAGAAAGCAATTGAATATTACCAGAAAGCAGCTGAACAAAATTATGCCAAGGCACAATATGATCTTGGAAAGTTTTATCAACATGGAATTGGCATAGACCAAGATGAGGAAAAGGCAATTGAATGGTATCAAAAAGCTGCTGATCAAGGACATGCTAAAGCACGAACTGAATTATATAAAATGCATGCACAGGGACATAAAGTGTAAGGTGATGATAAATGGTGACAAATCTGTAACTCTAATTTATATTGACAGAAGTTTTAAGTATTATATTACATTTTTAAAATATCATTATCACTGCTTGAGTGTTTAAAATGTATGTAGTTTTTAAGCCTTTGTAATAATTTTTTTAAAAAGTAATTATAAAATCTCATTACAGCCTCGTTAGCTCAATGGGAGAGCATCTGACTCTTAATCAGGTGGTTAGAGGTTTGAATTTTATGGTTAGTACATGAAATACAATGTGACCCATAGCAGTTATATCAGTTTGTGAATTATAGTTTACATATAATAATAAAGGAATAAATAATGTTTTTTACATTATTGTTATCAGTGTTGTGAAAGGTTTGATTTTGTCAGCACAAGATTATATTAAACTCATAATTTACAAAGTCATTTCAATCTGATTCTTGAAAAAAAACATCTAAGTGAAGCAATTACCATGCAAGCTAACTATGACAACTCACTTTATTTTATATTTACATATTAATATTACACTTGTAAGTATAAGTAGTGTGATGATGCAAGCATATGCGATGACGTATTCCTTCCTAAATTTCTGTGGAACCCATTAATGCTACCAGGACCTCAGAGATCGGCGATGGAATTCTAACGGTAGTGCTAAGATTGACGGTTGCACTAGAAGCAAGCGGTTGCACTAGAAGCGGTCGTACTAATTATAATAACTGTCACACTAGAAGCACATTAGAAGCGCATTAGAAGCGCATTAGCAGCGCATTAGCAGCGCATTAGCAGCGCTGGGTAGTAGCATCGAGAAGAGAATAATGATAATTTGGAGAATAATTAGTAATTAGCAATTAGTCATCCGATGCTAAAAATAGATTAATTAGTCCGTCCAAAAGATATAAAAGCAGCGTAGAATAGACTTAGCATCGGGGTGTTTAATTTAGTGTTTTAAAAGTGTCCGAAATATTCAAGTGTTCGCTACGATATTTCCTATCGAAGACGTTCGATACCCCTTTTATATATTTTTACCCTTGTTAATAAACGAGTATCCATTTACTCCGAACAATAACTCTTTCCCTAAATATTCCGTTATATTTATAAAGCATTAATCCGTATAACGGCAAGATCGGTTGTAATACTTGTCTCGCAATCGATCGAGTGGCAATAGGATAATTAATTATTATTTTGCAGCGCGCATTATTTTTTATTAAGACCACCACCTACAGACTACTGACTTAATCCATCAGTAGAGAGTAGTTTTGTTCTCGAGAATAGTTAATTATCTAGGATTAGTGTGTGTGACACGTATAGGAATATGTTAGCATTGAAAAGCCTAATTAAAGGTCACTAACTGTTTGTTACGATTTAGCTATCGCTGAGGTGAGCCACACTCCTACGACGGCGCAGCTAGATCCCAAACCGAGACAGTAGTTATATGCTCTCCCGTAACTATTGCCTCGACAGTAGCACTAATGCTTATGCAATTTCAAGGGTCGATTACTGACTGACACCAGAAATGGATCTAATTAATTGATGGCTAGGTTGTTTTGGGTAATTCTGACGGTGGCACGACAAGCCAACTATTATTGTGTGCAGACATATACGCATCGTTGTTCCCGATTACAAATGTATTACGCTACCACGCATTATTACCGCATTCACTTATACACTAACCTACCATAAATTACCGGATTTTTTGTCAATTAC